AATTCCCGTGGGCGATATTCGCAAAAGGACCTGCGTGGACAAGGACAGGGGTACCCTCGAGCGTCTGCATCAGAGTGGGATTTATCGCGTCTTTCATCAGTACAGTCAAAGCACCTCCAACACCGAGATCATCAGCTGTAACCGGATCACCGGCCTTGCTATTCCCGACAACCATTTTCCCTAGCCTCTCCCTCATATCGGTGAGGGACGTTGTGAGGGCTAGAACCGCCATTATCTCACTAGCTACCGAAATATCAAACCCAGTCTCTCGCACCATACCTTTTTCCTCAGGACCCTGTCCAATAGTAATCTTCCTCAAGAATCTGTCATTAACATCCATCACTCTCCTCCACGTTATAGAAGCAGGATCAATATCCAACCTAGCAAATTTCGAAACTTCTTCTGGCGTTAGATCCTCGGGGTTTGTCTTGTCAATACCAAGTTTTCTCAATCGCCTAAACATTACATCACTGAATTTTCGCTTTCCCTCTTTGTTTGGCGGGCATAGCCTGTTAAAAAGTGCTTTGTCAGACTGACTCGACTCATGGAAAACCCGAGTATCAATGGCAGCCGCTAAAAGGTTATTTGCAGCTGTTATTGCATGGATATCCCCCGTTAAGTGAAGATTGAACTCGTCCATAGGAATCACTTGACTGTAGCCTCCACCTGCAGCGCCTCCCTTGATTCCAAAAGTCGGTCCTTGTGATGGTTGGCGGAGACATGTTACAACCTGAGCACAACAAAGAGACGCAAAGCAATTCAGGTCGACTTCAAGATTAGAGAATTTCCCAATATATTATAGAGATTAACTAACAAGAAATGCACAGGCAGAAACTATGATAGCAAAAACTTATCATGACAACATTTCATTCCAACAGTCCTCACATGATCTTAGAAAAACAAAGCACAGTAATTCAGAAGGAATTGTTTTTCTCCTCTATGCTGTCAAGACAAGACAAACAATCAACCAAGTTGGTTAGGCTATTGACTCGGTAACTACAAGGTTACAAATTTGACTCTCGACAGGAGCAGCCTATTGTCTTCTTGGTTTGAACTGGTCAGTTATGGAAAACTTAGGCTGGTTTACCTCCTTCTTTGTGGTTCTTGTGGTTCTTTGCCCGCTAGGGTCACAAGGTGGGTTACGCGTTTTCCTCGTCACTCAAAAAGAAAAAGACAAAATACTGATATTATGTTTTCAACTTTTACTCATTGTCCAACATTGCTTATCTGCAAGTTTAGTGAGGCAACTAACTAACTTTATTCAAAGATAGTAAGCATCATAACTATGAAAACCTCTCACCAGTCACCATGTAACCTATCACAAGAAAGACAATAAAGTCATATAGCCTACCTTTTTATCAAGAAAAGCACCCAATGCCTGACACAGACCAACAGTAGTAGTGGACTTTCCTTCTCCAAGAGGGGTTGGAGTTATCCCTCCAACCACCACATAATACCCATCCTGAGCTTCTCCAAGCTCATCAAGCGCAGACAAAAGCACCTACAATTTCACCATATCAATTAATTTGCAGAAACCATATACTTATAAATGCACATATCGGGAAAAAAAGACAAAATTCCCTCGTCCCAGGCTCACGCCCCGCTCTGACAATCAAGTAATTGAATATATAAGGACTCACCCACCCCCTTCCAAAGAAGAAAGAAAATTTATAGTTTCAACTGACAACATCTATCCACCCAAATCACCTTATCCCACACTACATTACAATCCAAACCACAACCATGGCAAAAAATACCACAAAGGGCAATCCCCAAATCACATAAAAATCAAATCTTGATATACATATAAGCACATAACCACATCAATCCAACCCAACAACTCCATAGAAGAAAAAAATCAAGATTTACCTTGGCTTTGTACTTCCCATAAAGATCGTAGTGTTTAGCACCCAAACCGAGTTCCTGCGCAATCTCAGATATGTGAAGCGGCTCCACAGAGTTCGCAATGTCTATATCCGCCGGAACCGGCGAAGCCACTTCCAATTTCCTGGTCGTCTTCCCCATACTTCTCCCCTTTCCTGGTATCCCTATCTTTGGAGATTGCGGGATTTGGAGTACTAAATTATATGAGGCCAGGCTTATGGACTGTGGGAGAAATATAAAATGTTGAAAAGTAAGCCCAGGAATAGTTTATGGATTGTGACGAGATATGAAAGGTAATCTATGGCGCTGGATACATTAGATTTAAAGGTTTTTTAAATTGATAATTGACGAGAGCGACAAATGTTACTCGCAATATTTTACAAATGTTAGTCGCAATAGTTTTTTACGTGGCAGTAGGTAAAGGCCTTATCTTGGATTCTTGGAATGATTGATTAGATCTGGCGTGGTTTTATACTTTCTGTGGATTCACGTGAGTTTTAGTGACTGTGTTTCGTGCCAGAATAAAACAGTCAAACAGAGTGATAACTGACAGTGGAGACGTGAAGAACTTAAAATCCAGGCGAAAATGGAGATGCGGGGTATCGATCCTCGTACCTCTCGCATGCTAAGCGAGCACTCTACCATCTGAGCTACATCCCCATCTGATAATTTTTTAGAAATATTACGATTTATCCTATTTTAAACTGACAACACAAAATTAGATTGCGGTCCTGTGGAAGTAGAAGGAATAAACCCCGTGTCTCTCACAAAGTGAGTGTTCTACCATATAAATTACACTCTAATTATTGAGAAAAATGAAACTAGTAATTTTAGTTGGACTGATAATTGAATTAGAAATCTCTACATACTCTGATGAAATAGTATAACCTCACCAAATTTCTATTTTTTAAAAAAAAATCCTCTATTTCTTCAATCAATAACCCTAATATTTGTTTCCCTCCAATATTTTTCTCCCCTTTAGACTTGAGAGATCATCTTACCAACCGCAACAGTGGTGTGCTGGCTTTCGCCGCCTCTCCTCCGTATCTCGCCCCGCTATAAGAGGGGGCGGTTGTCCTTTAACAATCCATTCCGACTTTGGCTCATCTCATAGAGGGTCCCTAAGGAAGTATGCAAGACGACTCGGAGGCCACCCAAAGGGTGCCGACCCCGCCCGGTCCAAGCACCCGGCCACCCCGAGGCCCGAGCACTCAACACTCAAATTTAGTCCAAGATGGCCTAATAAATAATACAAATTTCATTTTAGTATAGCGAATTCAATTAATTCAAAATTACTAAAATTCATATATATATATATATATATATATATATATATATATATAGTATGAATCATGCATATATAATATAATCAAATAATATATGTTACTTTAGGATGTGGCCTGGAAGAGTTTTTACCCATTTTGGTCCCTTGACTATGGCCCATTCTCAATTTTGCATTCAGACTTTTAATTGCACCCAATGTGATCCCTCGACTTTTAAAAGTTACCCCAATTTGGTCCTCCGTTACCTTTTCCATCAATTAACCGTTAAGTTGGGGGGTATTTTAGTCATTTCGTTGTGTTTTGTGGTTTTTGTTCTTTCTCTACGTCTACCCATCCCTATAGCAGCCGGAGCAGCCAGAGATATCTCCAATCTATTGGCATGGTGCTAAATAATACTCCATAACCATATTCACGATAGTCTATAGTTGACTGCGAGTAGATCGAAACGCAGTCGTCGCGGTCTTGATAACGGAGTGGGTAATGTTAATGTTGGTGGTCTCGCTGTTATGTACGCCGTCAGTGTTGGGGCTGTTCTTTGGCGCGGTTATGCGGAGATGGGAAACGTTGATCCCCGAGCTGTCCGTCACCTTCATGTGGAATCCCATGCTGTTCACGAAGTTGAGATGGTGCACGGCAGAATGCCGCACGCTTTGGAACAACATAGACTGCATGCACAAAAACGGCCACACGTTGATGTCAAGTTTATTAACGTGACACATTAATAATGACGACTAGGCCGGCCGGGTAGCTTACGACAGGGAGAAGAGGTGCGTTCTTAATTGTGTCGCCGGCGGCATATTTCCAGGTAGCCTCGCCACGGTCGTTGATCGTTCCGCCACCGGTGACCACCACGTTATCCACATGTTCGAACGAGATCCAGTAGTCGGAAGTGTAGACGCTGAGGTCAGTGTCCGCTATAAGAGTTCCCTGAATTTCAACGGTGACGCGCTTATTAGCGGTGCAGGGTCCCTGGAAGATCACTTCTCCGGTCATGAACTTCCCTCGGGGAATTAGAAGCTTCGCCGACGGCCCCGGTGACTTGCAAGCTTTATTCCATGCCCTTATCATTTCCTGTACATATTAAAAGTCCAATCATTATATATATGATTATCGTGAATATGGTTATGGAGTATTATTTAGCACCATGCCAATAGATTGGAGATATCTCTGGCTGCTCCGGCTGCTATAGGGATGGGTAGACGTAGAGAAAGAACAAAAACCACAAAACACAACGAAATGACTAAAATACCCCCAACTTAACGGTTAATTGATGGAAAAGGTAACGGAGGACCAAATTGGGGTAACTTTTAAAAGTCGAAGGATCACATTGGGTGTAATTAAAAGTCTGAATGCAAAATTGAGAATAGACCATAGTCAAGGGACCAAAATGGGTAAAAACTCTGGCCTGGAATGTGAGATGGAAACGGGAACTTGCCAGTAGGCGATCAAATATTCAAATGTGGGCTGAGCATATATGCTTTGGATTAATCAATAGTCTCTACGGTGGGTGGGCAGCATTCCAAAATGTGTATATTGAAAGTGTTTTTCATGTCTTGAAACACTACAGCATTCATTGTAATTATGGTCATCAGTGCATGCGTGCTTGTTAATGTGTTTAATGTGGCTGTTTACATATTCCTCGATTTTGACGATGTGTTTATAACCTAGACTAGAAGCTAGTACTTCATCATTCAATTCTCTTCTCTGCACTATATATATATGCTATATATATATATATATATCCTATTATGCCACCCAACCCCAAAACGCATTTCGGCACGCAAGAACTTTCAAGTTTTGAATTTGGTAATGATGTTTAAAGTGGATTTAGTAATGGCAGACGGCAAGGGGGATACTTGGGATGATAACAGTCTTGGTCAAGTTGTGGGGATTCTGGTTTCCCACACTTCTAGATCTACTGCCATAGATTCTTTACGTTTTCTTTGTGTAAAGGACAACGTTCACCAAATGTCTGAAGAACATGGCGGTGGTGGTGATAACTCTGAAATGGTTAGAGTATGGTGATTTTGTTTCTTCCTGATTTATTTATCGTATGAAAATCGTTTATAGATTGAAACTTAAATATTTGATATTTCTTTGAATTTGGCTATATATATAGATCATGCTGGACTATCCAAAAGAGTTCCTCATTGAAGTGCATGGGATTCGTAATGTCGCAGTTGGTTTCAACTCCACTACTAAATATACCATCAGGTCTTTAACATTTGTGACTAACAAGGCGACATATGGACCCTTTGGTCAACAACGTAGTTGTCCAAATGATATTGTTTTTGGTTTCAAAATTGCGGGGAATGAACCTGGGAATTGGATTGCTGGATTTTATGGAATTGATTATGCGGGCTACATCAGAGGTCTTGGAGTTTACGTTCGGGCACCGACTATCAGCCAACCTGATGATAATAAATTAGGCGTTAAGTTGGAAGTCTGAATGTAATTGATGATGTTTCAGTGAAATGGGTTTTTTTTTTCTCTTCTGATTGGTTGAATAATGAATTTGATTTTATGTCATCGTATCATGTGCCGTTCTGAGATGAACCTCCTTTTTAATACATGTTGTGTCAATCTTGATTTCTTATGATTCATTTGCCATAACTTTTTAGAGTTTTTTCGTATAAATTAAAAGATGTAGTCTATTGGATATTTAAATGCGTCTTTTCAAAATCATTTATTTTGTACAACATGTACTAAATGTTGGAACCATGTGTTGTCAATTTTGGTAGCTCTAATATGAATGGTGATTGGTGGTTCAGTGTTGTATAATTCATTGCCTTTACCTATGAAGGAATAATGTTTCACCTCATCCTATTTCTTTGATTTTGTAATTAGATTAGATATGAATGGAATTTATGAAAAATGTGAGCGGAAATGCCTTTTTTTTGCCACACAATGTATTACTTAGATTGGCAAACTTAGACTCGCACGGGCTTAATTTAATGGTTTAGTGGATAGTATTTTAGACAAGATTGACGAACTTAGTTCATTAACTATGTGTGACCTAATTTAGTCCTCGAAATATTTGTTTGATGGTCATCATCTTTGTTCGATCCCTAATCATCATATCCCCAATCCTAAAGATCCTCACACCCCGACCTGACAGAGCATTTGGAAGAATGTAAATCATTGTAACTCAAATGAATATGAACCAATCTTTTGTTTTTTAGTAATAGTAGCATTAATGATGGGAGACAGACCCGTCCCACTTCCTTATTCTTCTGAGATAGAGTTGTATCAGGAGAATAATATTTGCTTTCATCCAATAGCTTTCTCCCCCTTCCTCCATAGTTTGAGATGGCCTAATAAATAATACAAATTTCATTTTAATATGCCCAATTCAATTCATTCAAATTACTTAAAATTCATATATAGTTAGAATCATGCATAATATATATAATAATCAAATAAGATATGTTACTTTAGAATGTAGCCTGGATTGCGAGATCGAAACGGGAGCCTGCCGGTGGGCGATCAAATATGGCCTGAGTTTATATGCTTTGGATTGATCAATAGTTTCTACGGTGGGCAGCATTCCAAAATGTGTATATATATTGGAAAGAGTGTTTTGCATGTCTTAAAACACTACAGCATTCATTGTATATTTGTATTTATGGTTAGTGTATGCTTGTTAATGTTTTTAATTAATGTGGTAATTACAGATTCCTCGACTTTGATGATGTATTTATTATTTTATTTTTTTATTATTATATATATATATATAAGTAAGAAGCCAGTACTTCATCATTCAATTCTCTTCTCTGCACTATATATATATATATATATATATATATATATCCCTCTATAATATATTACCATAGAGCTACCTCTCAGCCGGCGCACCGCTCAAATCATACATTGAGTATGCTATTGATGAATATAGAAACTACGTTTCCACCTTTACTTCGTGTTTAGCTAATTTTATTCCTAGATCACAAAATTATTAAGCACATACTTTAGCTTCTTCAGCTTTTAATTTTGATACAGCTATGTATTGGGACGCCAAACTTTATTTCAGTTTTTCTATATATACAACTGCTTAGGTTGACTTTCAAAAATAAAAAATAAAAAATAAAAAATAAAAAATAAAAAATACTGCTTTATTGTGGCCTGAGCGTGATTTGGATAGATGAATAGTCGCTCCATTGGACTGACGTACTGCATTAAATCCAAAATGTATGTTTAAATTGGAAAGAGTGTTTTGCATGTGTTGAAACGACACTGCATTATTATATTCATTGTATTATTCTGGTCAGTGCATGCTTGTTAATGTTGTTTAATGTGCAGTGGTAAGTGACTCTTCGTCGTAATTTAATAAATTCTGAAATAAAATGTATTTTAATTTTATAAAATATAATTTATAAATTAAATTCAAAGCATACATAATAATAATATAATAATCAAATAATAGGATGTAGCCTGGACTGCGAGATCGTTACGGGAACCTGCCGGTGCCCGGTAGCGATCAAATTAAATATGGCCGGAGTTTATATGCTTTAGATTGATCAATAGTCTCTACAGTGGGCAGCATTCCAAAATGTATATATTGGAAAGAGTGTTTTCCATGTCTTGAAACACTACAGCATTCATTGTATTTATACTGTGCATGCTTGTTAATGTGTTTAATGTAGTTAGTTACAGATTTCTCGACTTTGCCAATGTGTTTATTATAACTTAGAAGTTAGTACTTCACCATTCAATTCGATCAATTCTCTGCACTATATATATGCAATATATATCCTGTAGTATTACCAAACATCCCCGAAACGCGTTTCATTGTAATAAAATAATAACGACATGATGAACAAACTCAATTCTCATCCAACCAGGAAAGAGATTAAAACAGAGAGACCTATAGAAAAGCTACCACTAAAAGCTCATATACAATAGACTAGACTAGTCAGATAAATAACAACCACAGAGAATTAACATAGTTATATAGTATTACTAACAGACATAACCCCCAAGCCCATTTCGTCAAGAACTTCCATTTGAGTTTAATGATATTCAAAGAGGATTTAGTGCCGGCAAGGTTCGGTGAAAAGTGGGATGATCACAGCTTTGGTCAAGTTGTTGGGATTGTGGTTTCGCACAATTCTTTTTCGCTCTTGTCTCTTCGTTTTCTATGTGTTAAGGACAATAATATTGAGCAAATGTCTGAACACCATGGCAAAAGTGGCGGACAACGTGAAATGGTTAGTGTATATATGATGATTTTATCTTTACTATTAATGAAATTAGATGTTTAATAGTTGTTTCGTTATTTTTTGGTTATTGTTCACAAACAAATTACGATAATGAAGATATATAAGAATTTGTTTAATTTGTTAAGCATTCCCGTTTGCGGATGTGTTCATAAACATTAGTAAATACAAACTAATGGAGGTGATTTTTTTTTTTTTTAAACATTAACAAACAAATACTAACATCCTAAAAAATTTTACAAAAAAATATTATAATTTTACATTGATATACATCAAGATACTGAATGATACTTTGAAAAATTCTAAAATACTAATTTAAAAATATACATTGGGCATTAGACTATTTGCAGAATGTGTATATGGTAACTAGTAAAATAATAAAGTTGGTGGCTCTATATGGTGAGGACAATGTGTTTTTTGAATGATACAAAAAATAAATAAATAGTTTGTAACTTAATTTGTTGAGAGCCTGAAAGGAAAGAACCAATTAGGAACATGCCTAATTATGATGATTGATCACAGATTAGACAAATTAGTATTAGGAAATTATGTGTACCATAATAAATCATTACTTTATTGTTTATATAGTTGTATAATTTTAGTAAGTTATTTATTATTGATTTGAGTAATTTAGTATAAATTGTATGATTTTAGTAAGTTATTTATTATTGGTTTTAGTAATTTGGTATAAATAAATTCATTGTATATGAAGATTGAGAAACATCAAAATATATTATTATTCTTTTTGTTATTTATTTATCTTGAAGTTCTGACCCCTCCCTACTCAAAAAAAAAAAAAAAAAAAAAAAAAAAAAAAAAAAAAACCTACGGCATCGAATCTACGACGAAGGTGCGTTTTTTTTTTTTCCGGGGTTTTGATTTGTTGAGTTTTCTTCTTTTAATTTTCACTACAGTTTTTACTGTAATTATTATTTTGGGTGATTATTATTTTGGTGGTATGTATTTAAGGTTTATTATTCAAGACATATACTTACGATAATATTCAAGTTATATATAGTTTGATCTTATACATATGCTAACATTCAAGTTATTATAATTTGTGACAGATAAAATAATTCCTTAAAGTATGCCTTTGGAGACCAGGCTCAACACTAGTATGTTCAAAATCGATTTAATGCAATCACCAGACTACGATGAAGCATGGGATGAAGGTGGTTTTGGACAAGTTGTGGGGATCTTGATTTCTTATGAGTCATGTGTCATAACATCCTTACGTTTTCTATATATCAAGAACAACACTTTCCAGATGTCTGAACGACATGGAGTTTTAAAAGGAAACTTTCAAATGGTTAATATCATCTGTCTCTATTTACAAGCCTATTATTGATCAAATCCTTAAACTTTGCTTTAATAACATAACTTTGGTTGTATGCAGGTCACATTAGATTATCCAACAGAGTTTCTTACTGCGGTGCGAGGCTATCGTGGTTTATGTAGTGTTAGGTCCATAACATTTGTGACTAACAAGGCTACATATGGACCCTTTGGGAAAGTTCAGATTGACACCTCAGACTACAACTTCAATGTGTCACTACAAGGCAGGATAGATCGATTTAATGGTTTTCATGGCACTGTGTACGATGGTTGCATTGGAAGCATTGGAGTCTACATAACAAAAACTATGACGACCCAACCTCAATCTTTAGAATATGTGAATTTAGAGTTGTCAAGACGGACCCAACCCAAAAGGTCAATGCCGTTTAATTAGGTTTTTAAACAATTCTTGAAATTTTTTTTGACTCATCCCATTGAGCCCGTGGGGATACTCGGCCGGCTATATGCCTTGACCTGTGTAACTTGCGAGCCAACCCGTATAACCATCACCACTACCCACTCTCCAAATTTTATTTAAATACTGTTTAGTTTAAATGTGGCATGTGTTAGAATTTGTAAATGTTCTTAACTTTAAGAATGGAACACTCTAATAGTATTTGTTAGTTTTAATTTTTTTTTTTATAAATATAAATATGATTATATGGTCAATATATTTTGTTTTTGGAACAGTAATAATTTTGTATAAAGTAGTATCGGGGTTCAATCCTATAACCAGTCAATGATAATAGATGTGTCATCACATTACATAATAATAGTCGGTAATTATATAATTAATAATATAAAATTTGTTTCTCACAAATTATTTAAAATATAAACTATACATTTTATTAACTTTATAACTTAATTAATTAATAATATTATAATTATGAAATAAAAA